TCTGTCTGTCTCTCTCCCTATCTCTTTCTGTGTCTCTGTGTCTGTCTGTCTCTCTGTCTCTGTGTGTGTGTGTGTCTGTCTGTCTCTATCTCTGTCTCTCCTTCTCTCTCTCTCTCTCTCTCTCTCTCTCTCTCCTTCCAGTACTTAACCTTACAAAAAGTAGATACTCACATGCTCACAGGGGACCCCAAAGGGCTCCCTCATTTTCCAGATTGAGACTTTGAGGACTTTGCCCAAGATCACACAACTGGTAAGTAGTTGCAATGGAATTCAAACCCAGGTCCTCTGATTCCTAACCCAGCATTCTTTCCACTGAACCTTGTGGTCTTCCCATACTCAAATGTCAGCCCAGCTGAAATTTCCCTGGGTCACCTACCATCAACATTATTTAAGAAATGTCAGTCAGGTTCAAACCAACGGTTAACGGCTTCAGAGCCTCAGTAGTAGAGGGCGTTTCAGAAGCCATCTAGCCTGACTCATGACTGAAAGGGCATCTCCTCTACAATATCTGTCTTCCACTTAAATCCCTCTTGTGACAAGAGACAGACCACCTCCTGGGGGCAGGCCACTCCAGTTTTGGACAGTTCTAATCTTTAGAAGGGCAGCGGGGTGGCAAAGCAGGTAGAGTGCTGAACCAGGAGTCAAGAAGACTCATCTTCCCGAGTTCAAATCCAGTTTCAGACACTTATTAGCTGTGTCATCTTGCTTGCCTCAGTTTCCTCTTCTGTAAAATGAGCTGGAGAAGGAAATGCAAACCACTCCAGTATCTTTGCCAAGAAAACCCCAAATGGGGTCACAGAGAGTCAGACATGACAAAAACAGCAAAGCACAAAAGAATCATTAGAAAGCCTTTCCTTCCACCAAGCCTAAAACTACATCTCTCGCTTTAACAAGCCTTTTTAAAGTGACTTCTATAAGCAGGAGACCATCCTTCCGTTACCGATTGCTCTTCTTTGATTGTCCAAGCCCGTTTTGAATCTGAGATGACCAGCCTGCACAACTGTTCATATCATGTTCCCCAGCTACATGAAGGGCTATTTCTTTCTTAGTACTAAAATTACCATCCAGCCTCACAGCGTGTGCCTTCCCCTGGGACTCGGGGGGAAAAGACACAGTGTCTATTAGCATTGAGCGCTCAGAACTCAGTGTATGCTGGTTTGTTTGGATCGAACCAGTCCATAGATTATTGCATATGCCAGTTATGTGCCATGACTGTAAGTTTCTCAAGGACGAGGACCTGTCACACTCACTTTTTTTTAACTTTGAGTTATATTTTTTCAACTAGCAAAAATTCACCTTCTCTCTCACCCCAATACCCTCCTCCAGTTGATAACAAAGGAAAAATAAAATTCCCGTTATAAACATGTATAGCTATGCAAAACAAATTTCCACATTGGCCATGCTCCCCAAAATGTCTCACTTCTTGGTCAAGAGGCAGGTAGCGTATTTCATCATTAGCGCACTGGAACGGTGGTCAGTTGCTACACGGATCAGAGTTTTGTCTTTACCATATTGTGGTCCTTGTATAAATCGTTCTGGTTCTATTTGCTTTGCTCCATATCAGTTCATGTAAGTCTTTTCAGGTTTCTCTGCAACCATCCCTTTCATTGTTGCTTACAGTGCAATATACATGTGATATTCATCACATGTATATATCATAACTACTTCAGTCATTCCCCCAAATGATGAGCACCTCCATCCTTTGCCATCTTAAAAAGAGCTATAGGGGCAGCTAGGTGGTGCAGTGGATAGAGCTCCAGCCTTGGAGTCAGGAGGACTTAAGTTCAAATCTGGCCTCAGACACATAACACTTACTAGCTGTGTGACCTGGGGCAACTCACTTAACCCCATTGCCTAGCCAAAAAAAAAAAAGAGCTATAAACATCTCTTGTACATCCTTAGAGGCTAGGGGTTTAGTGATCTACTAGCTCAACACGGGCAGTGGATAGAGTGCCGGGTCTGGGCTCAGGAAGACTCAGCTTCCTGAGTTCACATCTGGCCTCAGATACTTACTAGCTGTATGACCCTGAGCAAGTCACTTAACCCTGTTTGTCTCAGTTTTCTCATCTGTCAAATGAGCTGGAGAAGGAAATGGCAAACCACTCCAGTATCTTTGCCAAGAAAACCCCAAATGGGGTCATGGAGAGTCAGACATGACTGAAAATGACTAAAAAGCAACAAAGAGTTTGTTTTTCTCAGGATTAATGCTACCCTTAATATGCCCTCCCTATCCCTTCACCCCTTTCCCTCCTATACCTCAGCTGAGTGAAAGGTATTTCTGTATCCAACTGTGTATTGTATATGTACATATTCTTTCCTCCTTTGACCAGTTCAGATGAGATGAGGTTTAGGTGCTAGCCACTGCCCCTGATCCCTCCTCTGTCTCTGCAGATGTCTACTTACATAGACTGTTTATGTGAGAGAATTTTCCCTAACCTTCCTTTCCCTTCACTCTAATTTATTCTTCTTTTCCTCTATTCTTCTCTTGAGATCCTTAAGATATAACAGAACCACTCTCAGGCCTTGTCTAATTATACTCTCTCATGCTTGCCTTTTCAGTGAGGATGGGTGAGGAGGGAGGAAGGGAGAAAATTTGTAACCCAAAGTTTTAAAAACACATGTTAAAAATAAAAAAAAATTAAAATTAAAAATAAAATTAAAAAATAATAATTATACTCTCTCTAATGGCCCCTGATGATGGGGTTCAGGGGAGAAGCACGTATCCTCTCCGCATATTAGAATGTAAGTTGTTTTATCTTCTCACTCATCCTTATGTTCAATGCCTCCAGATCCTTCTAAATTACTGCTATCTGAGCAAGATGTCAGCCTGGAGCTATCCCCTCTTGTAGCTAGAGTGTCTAGTTCATGACTGTTGGTGACTGCAGCCTCAGCCAGTCCAGTTCTGAAGCCCTAAGGCCATTCCCCATTCATGTCACCCAAATCCCAATGGTAGCCCACGCATTTCTTCCTTTAGGCTATGTGCTAAGACTCATTGCATTCAGGAAGCAGTATCATTCTTTCTAAAGAGCTCTGGAAATCTAAGAGGTGAGTACTGCCGCATGGAACATTGATCATGGGGATACTGGAATACCCCACCATTGTAATAGAACCATCTCCATGTCTGTAAACTGAAAGTTTCGCTTCATCCTGCTCTGTCAGGAGCACATGTCCAAGGCCTGGTTTTTCCCAAGCTCACCTTGCATGACTTGGCTGAATTGGTCAATGTTGCATGACCACCAGTCAGCACCAGAACAGTCTGCTAGCATTTGTTCTCCAGTCACCTTCTGACCCTTATAGGACAGGCTTAGCTCAGCAAGTAGTTAAGTAGGGATCCAAGCTGTTGAGAGAAGCAAGGAGGTTCTGGCATCTACCACATGTTTATGTCCCCAGACCATAGTTCTCAAAGGTCTCAGTAGAGACCATCTGTCCCTACATTCCATCTCCAACAGATCATTAAGATTAGCATCAACACCTGCCACCAACTGAAACCGACTGCCCTGACAGTCTAGCTTTAAGCAAAGCTCTCCCCTAGCTCTCCTAGAAAGATGCTCTTTCTCTGAATGGTTTTTACAAAAATCTCCTACAACCAAGCTGCCCAACTCTTAGAATGTGAACTCTCTGAAGATGGCCTTGTGACTGCTGCCCAAGGCTGGGGGTAGTCTGGGTGTAGAGATAGTCTCTTTGTTCAGGAGGGATATGGTGTCACTCTCTTAGCCCCTTATTGGAGTGAGCCCACTTCTCCTTGTAATATTCATTCTCTCATTAGTTGTTAACCAATCAGAGGTGATTGCCACCCTCAGAAACACCCACTCTTCCAAGGGCATATAAACTGTGAGCCTACCTCCATGAGGGGTCTTTAGCATTTGAGAGTGCCATTGACTTCTTTTATTAATAAAATACTAGCATTATTGATAAAATTATTAATTATCTAGAAACTATATATCTTGAACTGTTTAAACAACACACTAACTACAAGTGAGGAAAGACCAGGATTCACACAGTTTAGTGGACAGGCTCCTGAGCAAGAAGGCCAGGCCAACCTAAATTTTGGACACCAGTTTTCCCCAGCTAAAAAAGAGAGATAAGTTTCTGTTCTCATTTTATTTCACTGAAATCAAGAGGATAAAAACTATTATGAAGCCTGGGGCAGGAA